AAAATCTTTACAATATTAGCAGATCAGTGCCTAGCTATAGGAGATATTCTAGTCAAGTAGAAAATAGGTCAGCTATATTCAATCTCTAAGAATGAAGATTAGAATTACGATCTCTCAAATGTTAGGCCAATTGTACTCCTAGAAGCTTTCTGAAAAACAGTAGTCAGAATACTTAATATAAGATTAGATCATATTCTAGTCACACATAAAGTATTAGAGGGTCTTAACTATACAGAGTTAATAGGAGACAGTACAGCAAGCCCTATTTATATTATGAATAACATCCTTGAAGATGCAAGACAAAAGGGCAAAGAAGTTTAGATCTTGTTTCAAGACATGAAAAAAGCATTCAACTCAGTAAGCTTAGAAATAATGGAAAAAGTATCAAGAAGAATTAAACTTCTTAAAAAAACAATAAGCTTCCTCCTTAGCCTGTATAACAAAAGAAGAATTAAGGTTATTACAGAATATGATCTAACTCAAAAATTTATAGCAGAAGATAGTCTTGACTAAGGAGAGGTAGTTTCATTGCTAATATAGCAGATCTTCTATGATCCTTTATTATGCTTAATTCATAAAGAAGAAAATATAGGATATATTATAAACTCAGAATAGCCTTCTGATCTAAGCTCAAACAGAACTCAAGTATCATACTAGTAGCAGAGAGTATTAGCTTATGCAGATAATATAACCTGAATAGCAAGATCGAAAGAAGAGTTACAAAAAATTATTAATATATCAACAGAGTTTTATGAACTTAATGATATTGAAATCAATAGTAAAAAATTAGAGCTTTTGGTATTGAACCTCAAAGACAAAGGAAGGAAAGTAAATTATATACCTGAAATCAGTCTAGGCAAAAACAAAGATATAGTACAAGCAAAAAAAAGAAAAGAAGCAATAAAACACCTCAGAGTATGGATATCTGAAAAAGGTGGAAAAGAATGCAATGAACTAATCATCTCAAAAGAGGTTGCAAAGATGTGTAAAGCTATTCTGTAGAAAAAAGCTTCAGTAAGCCAGCTGGTTTATTTAAATAATAGCGTTCTACTACTGAGTATTGAATATAGGCTTCAAACTTCATTTCTCTCTAAAAATACATGCAAGCGTATTCAAAAGCCAATTTGAACACTTATCAAAAACAAATTAGGTCTAGCAAAATCAGCTCCAAATAGTATGTGTAGTTATTTAAAAATATTAGGAATGCATACAATCTGGCAGAATTAGTTAGCACACCATATTACAGAACTGATAATACGTATGAACAGACAAGATGAGCTAGGAATTACTACAAGACTTAGAATTAAAGAAGTACAATGCAAAAGTACTTGTTTAAGTAATATAACTAGCAGTGAAGTAAAGTTAAAGGATATAGTTCTCAGACATAACCTAGCTTTTAAAGTGATAGCAGAGACAAAAAAACTAGGTTTTAGTTTTCAAGAAAGCAGTTTTTACGAAACTAGTCTAAACCTAAAAGACACGAGTATATCGAGTATATTAAAGAGAAAAGAAGCAATCAACTATAGAAATAGTAACAACATAAATATTTTTATATTAAAACAACTAATTACAAGAAACGATAATACTCTGCTAACATAATAACAAGTCAAAACTATTAGAGGGTATAAGAGAAGAGAACGAAAACCAAATTGGTATAAAGATCTGGAGACAAAAGTCCTTGAAAATAGTAGCTCAAGAGTTCTAAAAGCAGAGTTCCAAACAGATTTGCCAAATGGGTCAGCTATAAGGTGCAAAAAACTAAGAGTATCCGCTGATAAAAGAAAAAAAGAATAGGTAATGTTTGAGAAAGAAGAAAAACTAGAATGCGGAAGAGTTACAAGAAAAGAATCTAAATACTTCATAGTAAAGTACTGGAAAATAGAAGAAAATGAAAACTCAGGAACCTCTACATCAATGATCATATGCAGATACTGCAAATTAGGAAAATGAAATGATATAAGCTACCTAATCAGACTTAAGTACACAGATTGGCACTAGGTACTTAACAAGATTCATAGAGTCAATAAGCTTGCTTCTACTATAATATCAACTACATCTTATAAAGATAACAGAGAAGTAGTTAACGATAAATTAATAGTTAACAGCAAAGATATAGAAGTTAGTATTATGGAAATAGAAGAAGCAGTTATACATAGAGTAATTAGAGATAATAATTT